TCTTATGCAGTCAGTAACTATGAAGACTACCTAACAGCTTCTCTGTTAGAATTTACTTAGTATACATTGTAGAAACTGAATAAAGAAAAAAATTCGAAGTATTTCAAGGCAATATGAGATGTTCTTTCTCCACAAAAGTCAAATAGCAGATAGGACATAATATTAATTTTAAAGGAAAATAATAATTCTTGTAGCAATGTGATACAAATCAAAAAGAAATAAAATTAGCATATTTGGGAAAGGCACTGTCTAGTAGCTATTCCAGTACATTTCAGAAATAAAACTAGCCATTTTAAGCCTAATTCAGTTTCAAAAATAAAATTTAAAGATAGTTGAGAAATATCAAGTTCTTCTTGAATTTTTCTTCTTTCAGTATGATAAGCTGAGCAGTCTAATAGTAGGTGCTTTAGATTTTCAACACAATTACAGAAATAGCATAAATTGGAAGAGTAGTCAGATAATCTTATTAGATAAGATTTGAAATATCTATGACCAAGCTTTAATTGGCAAATAGTTGACCATATCTTCTTAGATATAGAAAGAGTAGATGCTTTCTATCTGGGTTTTATTTTGAATTGAGAGTAGTGATTTGTAGAACTTTCTCTATTAAAAAGATCTTCAAACCACTCTATCATTACTTGTTCTTTTATTTGTCTTTTTATATAAGTAAGAGATATATATCTTTCAGAACAAACTTGATTTAATTCTGTAGCTTTCTTTACTGCTAGATCAGCTTCTTTATTTTCATGTATAATTACATGTGCAGGAACCTAATGAAGATGTAGATTAATTTGCTGATTTTTAATAGACTTAGCAGTTTTTCTTATAGATTGAAGATAATATAAGCCAGAATTAAGATCTTGATTTATGAGTTTCTGAATCGCAGCTTGACTATCAGAAAACACCCAGATATCTGATATTGATCTTGATTGAGACTGAGAGGTAGAACTTGCTATTTTAAATGCTTTATCTATGGCAAACAGTTCTGCATCAAAGACTTCAAGTTATTTTCCTAGATTCCATGAAAATCTAACATTATCTTGTAGATTGTATACACCAGCACCAGCATATTGACTTTCTTCAGCTTTGAATCTATCTGAATAGAGAATTAAAGATCTGTTATCTAGATTTTTAATTTTATTTATGTGACTATCTTTAGCTGTTTTCTTGTCTGAATTTTCAATTTGAATATCTATCAAATCAGCTAGGTTTTCAGATCAAGGTGCATTCTATTTTGCTTTGATTCTCTCTGTTTTTAGAAAAGGTAATATATTTGAAATCATTGAACAAATTCTAAATAGTTGACTTGGATACTTGATTTTTCTTCTTTTTCTTTTTCTTTTAGTTGATGTTTGTACAACATATTCATTATTTAATTCTGATTGATTCCAATCTAAAAACCTTCTCCAATCAAGATTGACACCATTATTATAAGGTGGAAAGCTAGAAGATACTCTTTTTCTGATTGCATATTCTTTTTGCATTTTTAATAGTCTATAAGCATAGTTTCTGTATAGTCTATTAAACCTTACTTTAGCAGGAGGAATTGCAGCTTCAATCTTCATAGCATAAATTGGAGAAGTTTTAAAAGCTTCTAGAACCTTTCTTAAAGCAGAGTTTTAAAGTTTCTCGTACTTATGGAGAAGATTCTTTTGATTTTTCCATCAAATCTGAACACCATAATCAGCTACTGAAGTAATACAAGCTATATAAAGTTGTCTCATAGCTTGAAAAGTAAGACTTTTTTCAGTATTTGAAAGTCTGATTATTTAATTAAGAACTCTTTCAGCAGCTGATATCTTAATTTTAACATGGTTCTTGAAAGTAAGAGAAATTGACGGTAAAAATTGATGACAGTCAAAATTGACAGCCAAAATTGACGACGGCCAAAATTGATGATGCCAAAATTGACGGCCAAAATTGACAACGGTCAAAATTGATGATGGTCAAAATTGACAGCCAAAATTTGATGACGCCAAAATTGATGGCCAAAATTGATGGTCAAAATTGACAACAGTCAAAATTGACGACACCAAAATTGATGACACCAAAATTGATAATGGTCAAAATTGATGATGGTCAAAATTGATGCCAGCCAAAATTGGTCACAGTGGTCAAAATTGACACGGCCAAAATTGACTGTAAAAATTGATGATAGTAAAAATTGACACAGCCAAAATTGGTCACAATGATCAAAACTGATGGCAAACATTCACAGTCACTTTCCCTGCTGTATCAAGGAAATTAAGAAAGATAAACAAGCACAAAATCTTGAAATTAGAATGAATTTTCATCTCTGCATTAGCTATTGGTTTTTGAATTTCACTGTTGGTGCTGCACTACCAGAATTGATATGGCTGAAGTAGCTGCTCTTCATGATTCTCTTGTGCCTGTCTCTTCTGTTCCAGCTGTGCATGTTGATGTATCTGTTCAAATTCTCTATCAACAACCCACATAAGTAACTCAGCTCTTGAGAGAGTCTGTCTTATGATCACCAGCTCTTGATCTTCTTCTTCAGTCATGGGCATTCCATCCTCTGAGTTCTCATCAGAGTCAATATTATAGATGTCTGGGATTGACTGGATGCCAGCCACTTCTGGAGACACTTCTAGTGTCTTTTCTCTTCTTGCCTTCTGCTGTTGGTCCATTATTGCCTGCACAAAAGGCCATTTGAAGTGGAAGGAAGTGGTTGAACCAGGAAGTTGGTGCTTGAAGTGACATCTGTTCTCCTGGAAATAATGAAGATACTCTGTCTTATATTCATTCTGCTTCCATTTCCTGAAGCTGGCTTCAAAGAACCAGTACAGTATTTCCTTTTGATGTCTCAGATACTGCTTGATTGTGGCTGAGTGCTTGTCTTCAGTGAGTGGCCAGACTGAGGCCATCACAACAAAATAGATGGGGAAACAATACAGTGAGTAACATTCTCTGTTTTTCAGCAGGTCATTGCCTGGTATCCAGAGCAATCCATTCTTGTTCTGTTCTTGAATGATTGTGATGCACTCTGTGAGCCTCCATCAGCATCAGTATTGCAACAAGCACATCACTAAACAGAGCCTCTTATCTGGACAAATGTGATGGATGCAGTTTGATAGCACTGGAAAGATTATGGGTATTGTTGTCTTCCTGCAGACAGGACACTCATACATGTGGTCTAGCTCTGTGCTCCAGTCAGCCATAATCAAGAAAATTGCTGTAGAATAGGACTCTTGAGCCTATATCTTTGCCATACTTATTCTGCAGGGTGTGTCTCTTTTCTGCTGGAACATGTTCAAACCAGCATTTCATTTCTCAAATGCAGTTTTCTCTCAGCCAGAACTTGCAGTGGACTATCTCCTTTTTTTTAATTTTACTTGGGGTGTCACCTCCAGATGCTTGTGTTAACAGGCTGTGCTGGAACTTGCAGTGATTACTGAGCTGGCATTTTTCATGAATCCAGTATCTGCAGCTCATGCTGCTCAGCTGTGCTGCCTGGGCAGACAGGCACTTAGTGAGACAATAAAAATGTGATAGAAGGTGGATCAGCAGTGATTGGCAAGATATTATAGAGCAGGCCTCAGATGACTTTTTGATGTGTAGAATTGAGAACAGACTGAGGAGCAAAAACAATAACAAGTCACCAATCACAGTAAATAGCATTCACCATGAGAGTCCAATGTAGTTATGGGGTCAGAGAGATCCTGTAATGTTTATATTCACTTCACATCAACACTTTGCTTCAGGCTTTGCTTCTCACCCATAATATTTCTGATTCTGATAATCTTCTCAACCACAATTGCATTGACTTTGAAACCTCTTGGTTGTCCCTCCCAGTATTCAATAGCTGCATTGTAAGTTCAGCATCACTCACTTAAGCATTGTAAGACACCAAGATCAGGGCTGACTGAACATCTGACAGTGCTGAACCACTGTCAAGAACTATTATGAGAGATTGAGCAGCTGTCCAGCATCAAGAATCATGTGTCACAAAGTCAAGATTCTGCTTCATTTTGAAAAGATAGTGAAATTCAAAAAGGTTTGCTGTGCCACTGTCTGATTTCTGCATGACATCAGATCAAGAAATACTGACATAATATTCCTTCCAGTACAATGTGATAACAATAAATGAGACTCATGTCAAAGCCATGCTTGGCTTGACAGCAGAGAAGCTACTTGATCTGAAAAAGATCATGCAAGAGCTTTATGACAAGGAGATCCAGGGCCTTCTCCATCAAGCAGTAGCTAAGAGGGTGCTGAAGAAGAGCCAGATTGCTGTAGTGAAGTGTGCCATTTCTCAAGAAAGCTTTGGCAACAAGATCCTGCAGGCCTGGAAGAGCAAGTCTAACTGTGAGAATGTCTGTAAAGTACTTGTGTAGCTTATTGTGCAGGTCCAGTACCAGAAAACAAGATGACAGCAATATGGCATTCAGCAAGATTCATCTTCTGAGTCTGTGAGCTCTCAGATTTCCTTATCAATATCTGTTTGGCAGCCATTGTTGGCTACAGCTGCCTCCAGACTAACATCTTTTCTCTCTGCACTTGAGTCTCTTGAGACCTGTCCCACTACATCAAGCACTCTGTGATATGTGCTGGGTTTGGCCAAGTCTCTGACACCAGTGACTAAAGAACTCTACTGAGCCATTATCTTTACCAGAAACATGGTCTCTGGCTGTGTGTTGATCTGCCAGGTTAACAAATTGCTGTCACATTGCATGTTAGATAGGCAGGGAACACTCTCTGAGGAGGATTGGACAGAGTGGCAGAGTATTCTGACTACTGACTGTAAATTTCATTGCAACTCTCAGATTATCAAGAGCCTGGATGAGCAGATCACCATCATTAACAAGTGACTGTGGCAATCAGTGTGTGTGATGCAGCTGGAGGAGATTCTGAGCAAAGGAACAGATGGATCTCTGACCCTCAATTTTGTGATCACTGCCTGGAATGTGGAGCCCACCCATACCCATGAAATTCAAAAAAGATGAATTGTGTCAGTCACTGGCTCCAACAATGATGGAAACATGTCTGAAGGCCCAGAGACAGAGTTCTTAAATGATGATGGGCACCATGATATGCCTGTAACCTGCTGATGCTGAATCACTATATGCTTATCATCTCCTGCATTCACACTGTCTTTCTCTTGTTCCCTCTCTTGACACAATCAAGACAGCCTCCAGGACAGCATGCATGTGGACATGACTGTTGATAAGCTGCATTATGACTGTGAGAATGGCTTCAATGGAATTGATAGCATGGCTAGCCACCCAGATACTTTAATGGACTTGGACACTGTAATAGATCCACCAAACACAGATGCTATCTCCACTGCCTCCACTGAAGCTCAGGATTCTCAAGATGGCCCAATCCAGCCAGTTTCAAGAACAACATCAGCACCAATCAAGGACAGTGAAATTCAAAATGAATACCCACCAGCTTCACTCAGTGAAATTCAAAAAGAGAGTCCACCAACCCTACCCTGTGAAATTCAACAAGGAATTGATAGCATGGCTAACTATCCAGATACTTCAATGGACTTGAACACTGTAATAGATTCATCAAATCCAGATGCTGTTCTCACTGCCTCTACTGAAGCCCAGGATTCTCAAGATGGCCTGATCCAGATCAGAGATGACTGTAAATATGACTCCACACCTGTGCATATTGTGGTTGAGCAGCCAGTTTCAAGAACAACATCAGCACCAATCAAGAACAGTGAAATTCAAAATGAATACCTGCCAGCTTTACCTAGTGAAATTCAAAAAGAGAGCCCATCAACCCTATTCTGTAAAATTTAACAAGAGCACCACTTTCTGGATGTTGAGATGATTAATAGTGATGACACTTTACTCTTGAACATGGGTTATGAGTTTCTTAACAAGGTGACACAACTGGAATCTGAGCCACAAACCAGTGATGAGGGTAATACTAAGCAAGTTGACCTGGTGGAACTCATCAAGCCTGGCAGATTTCAATATGAGCAGATGAACAGTCAAACATGGTGGAATTTCACCAGTTTCTTCATGCTCCTGCAGAATGAAAATAATGGTACAGACTTAATCAGAAAGATTCTTATCTGTGGCATGCTGTAAGACACTCCACCTCACCAGCTTTACTGTACATTCTGAATGCTTCTCAAGAATCAAGAGTTAGAGCAAGATGAATTCATTGCTGATGAGATGGAAATTGGCAAAATCATGAAGATGATATTGTACTTTGTCCTGAGTACCTGAATCATCTATAACTGCCTGCATATCAAACAGTGCTGTAAGAATTCTGCAATGACCAACAAGCATCTCTCTGTAGTCATGAATACAGAAGAAGAACATGAGAGTTCAAAGCAGTATTATCTAAGATGTCTCTCTCAGGATATGTTCCCCATTCTGTATGGCTGTATTCTGGATGGGGTGACTGCACACTGTCTGAGTCAACTGCTGTAAGATACAATGCTGGTGGTAGTGCTCAAAAGTCTTCTTCTTCTCTGGATGAGAGAGTGGGCCAACTCTATCTCCTGTAATTCAGAGAACTGTCTGAAACTGAATCTCTTCATTGGCCATGGAGACTTAACTCTCACAAAGATTGGCAACTTGGGCCATGTGTTCATACAGACTGCACAGCATGTGATGCTGAGATAACATGATCTGAATCTCCAGCAGGATTATTGGCACATGTTCCTGATCATACTGGACTTGCTCTCCAGCTGTATGATGATACTTCTCTGTAACATTCAGAAACAAGATGTCCAGCAATTGTGATGGCAAGCTGTAATCTGAGATGAATGCCATCAGGAGAAGGGCTTTGACAGCAAGATCATCAGACAGTTTTGAGAGATCAATGCAGCCACAGGGAAGCAAGACTACACCCCAGCCACCTGGCTGCTCTCCAGAACATTGTACAATAAAGAACTGACAGACATGCTCTTCTGAATGATGATACTGGCCTCTGATGAATGGGATAATGATGCCAGACTGCAATTTGCCAAACCTGATCAATGGAAGACCCTCTCAGCCAGAGTGCAGCTACTGATCAGCAAGAAGCAGCTGTCCAGAACAGAACAGATTGAGTTCTGGTCAGCAGTACACCAGTTTAATCAGATGCTTGAGTATCTGATGATCTGCTGCACTACTGAGACAAGTTGGTTTGACAAACCCATTATGGAGCTGCTCTGCAACCATCATCATGATGTTCTCTGCAGCCTAGAGCCCAAGATCAGAGATGAGCTCCAGCAGTGTGAGCAGCATGAAATTCAAAAACTAAAAGACAGCTACATGAGAAGCCTGCAGGAATGGAAGAAGCACAGTCAAGAATCTAAATCTGAGCTTTCCAGCCAGATCTTTTTCAAGAAGTTATGCATAAACTGAATCATTGCCATCTTTCCAGCTCTTCTGGACCTCATGAAGACCAAGCAATGTGAGCTCAAGCTTACTAATGAGAAGATGATGAAGAATGGATAGCATGCTGGTGAGGACAAGAAGACACTGTACATTCATGCAATCAATACCCTGACCAATTCCAGCTTCAAGTGTTATGTGATTCAACACATTCTGCAGGGCATGGGGAGAGACTATTATGGGTGCTCAGAGAAGATTGTTATCCTGACAGAATTCCTCTGTATAATTCACATGCTTGAGATGGTAGATTACTGTGTCCCCTTTTCTTGTGTTTTCTTTCCTGGCTAACTTTTCATACAGTGGCTGCAGAAGCAAGACTACTGTGTTGCAGCAGTCTATAGCAGTATGAGTGTTGAGGACTGAGACATGTGCATCAATGTCTTCAATCAGAATCTGTCACTGCCTGAAGATGAGACTGATGCCAGTCCAGGTATCCTGATCAGTATTCTGGAGATTCTAGATGTAGACTATACCTGTATTTGTGCCTTCTGACTTATTCTGCTGAGCCTGAGCTGGTTGGAGAGGGATGAGACCCAGGGCAAGACATGCATCCACTGCTATGGGCAGATGAACAAGGCCATGTACACCTACTGCCTGATGTGCAGAGATGTCCAGGTCAAAAGCAACATTCTTGACCAGCAGGTAATGTAAAAGAGTTTCAATAAACTGGTGATGTTGCTGCAGAGAGAGGCTGGCATAGTTCAAGATGTGATTGATCTGGATACAGTATGAGGCCTGGCATGGCTGTGTGGCTGTAAAATTTAAAAAGAAACACCCAAGAACCATGCAGTGCTTCTGTCAAGATGCCTGGATATTATTAGAAATATATGAAACAATCATGACTGTTTGTTCTAGATAATTTGTTCTGCAGAGTTGAATAGATCAGTAGTTAGGTCCAATTAAAGCAATTTCAGCTGAAAGCCATTCATTATATCTCCCACCATAGTTGTGTTGATGCTGAATACTTGGTGGTTGAATGCATCAATGAGCCTTCAGCCTGGTGATGGTGTGACTGGCTAATATTAGCACCCTACCAAATTTGTGCCAGCATATCCTCTGATGCTATCAACTGTTGGTATGGTGCCTGTGGCCTTTCATCCAAGAAGAAGGATCCCCTCACCCAGAGATGTATATGATGTATCATGACATGCTGATGCTGAGTCTCTTTTTCCAGCCTGGAGCTTGAGATGCTGCTGAAGCTCCACAGTCTTTAAGCATGGTGCAGCAGAATATCTGAACATGTTTGATTTGGGTTGCTTATGGTGATACTGGCTCTCCCTGATCAATCCTAACTGCCAACATTGGCCACCAACAATGGCTAATGCCAATATCAACTGGAACACAGTTCCTCCAAAGAATGAGGCTGCAGACTATTGGCTGTAAGTGTTGAGCACCAATTTCTACCATCAATTTTCATTGTTGTCAATTTTGACTGCTGGTTTTCAATGAGCTGAACCTGTTGTGGATGCACAAGATATGTTTTAACCATTGAGTTTGGCTGTCAAGTTTTACTGTTGTCAGTCATGGCTGCTGATTTTGACTGTTGTCAATTGTGGCTGCTGTCAATTTTGACTGTCAATTTTTACTGTTGTCAATTTTTACTGTCAATTTTTACTGTTGTCAATTTTGACTGTCAATTTTTACTGTCAATTTTGGTGTTGTCAATTTTGACTGCTGTGACCAATTTTGGCTGGTGTCAATTTTTACTGTCAATTTTTACTGTTGTCAATTTTTACTGTCAATTTTTACCATTGTCAATTTTGACTGTCAATTTTTACTGTCAATTTTTACTGTCATCAATTTTGACTGTCAATTTTTACTGTCAATTTTTACTGTCAATTTTTACTGTTGTCAATTTTGACTGTCAATTTTTACTGTCAATTTTGGTGTTGTTAATTTTGACCACTGTGACCAATTTTGGCTGGTGTCAATTTTGGTGTTGTCAATTTTGACATTGTCAATTTTGACTGTCAATTTTTACTGTCAATTTTGGTGTTGTCAATTTTGACTGCCATGACCAATTTTGGCTGGTGTCAATTTTGGTGTTGTCAATTTTGACTGTCAATTTTGGTGTTGTCAATTTTGGTGTTGTCAATTTTGACCATTGTCAATTTTTACTGTCAATTTTTACCATCATCAATTTTGACCATCAATTTTTACTGTTAATTTTGACTGCTGGTTTTCATCTGCAAACATTGACTGCAAGATGGATTCTCTGAATTGGGTGACAGAAGTCTGAGTTTTATCATTTGCATGTCTTCTCTTCTATAAATCTGTTCTCTTCAGCTTTTCTTGTATTATCTTGAATCTGCTACAGTGTCTTCTTTTACTCTCATTCTGATGTTTTCAGCATGATATTTCCTGCTACTGTGATTTGCTAATGGATGCATATAATTCAAGCCAGAATTGCCAAATTTTATGCAGCATGTCCAGCAGTGGCTTCACAGGCAAAGTATCTGATCAGCTTGGAACAACTATTTTCCTAAGTCAGCTCAATAGGCTGCTTCCCTTCTGCTGTGCTGCATATGAAACCTTTCCCCAACCATCTCATTGGGTTCATAATACTTGTTCAACCATGCTAGGGTGCCTGGAAGCTATTCTCATTCTTGTTGTCTTAGCTGCCCTCATGCAATTGATTTCAGGTGCCAGTCATCTAGGTGAATCTGACAGTAGTCATCTGGTACTGGATTGCCTCTCCTGTAGTCAAATATTAGTTTACAAGACCAGACTGCCCCATACAGAAGGCCACTGCATATCTCATAAGACTAATCTTCACATTTTGCATCTGATCCTTAAGGTCCATCTGTGTATGGTTCTACAGCCTGAACTCAGGCATATTCTTGTCCAGCTCTTTGATTAAAGTCCAGTTATTGCTGTGCCTCTCCCACAGCTGCACCAGTCTTGTGATCTCTTTGACAGACCATCTTGTTTAAATGCATGACCATCTGCAATGCCTGCTTCTGTGATTTGCTCTTCTTTCTACCATCTTCTTCACATATCTGATCTCTCTCTGCTGTCTACAAAGCAAGTGTTCTCTTGAACCCCTCTGTACTGAGTTATTAATGTGATCCCATTCATCCAGATCCACATCCAGATCTGAAGTTAATATCAAGTATGCTGCCAATGAATCAATTGTGCTTGATTGTTGATGATGGTTCCTGGAATAGCTGGTGTCAGCATCAGAAGAGTTGTCAGTCAAGCAGGAGGACTGTTTCCATGTCTCTTGCTCTCTCTCTGGTGTCTGGATTAATGTTGATACTTGAGAGCTGCTGAGCAAGAGTCTTGATTGTTTCTGAAAGCAGCTGTTCTCCAAGGCTGAACTCTGGCTCAATCTAGATGCTTTTCCTTTTCTATTCTCTGGACAGATCACCTCTGAGTGCCTGTTGCTTGCCTGATATGAAATGAAATTCTTAGAAGCCAAAACCTCTTCTGGTATTACTGATTGAGAGCTAGATAGCCATTGGTTCTGGCTTTTCAGATTGGGCTTGCTGTTGTATGATGTACATGCAGGAACACCCATGGGACTTGAAAATGACATACTCTCATTGGAAGGAGTGGTTTGGGCAAGACCTTTATCCAGAACCACCTGTTAATGAATGGTATACACAGGACCATAAGATTCAGGGCTGCCACTCACCACCTAGAGGCATGTTGCTTGACAGGAAACTGTTCAACAGTGGATATTGACTGCTTCCTGCTATTACTGATGGCAGGGACTGGAGCTGATTTGATGTTCTTCTTGCTTTTCTTCTTTGAAGTACAGTGAAAGTACTGGAGAGGTGTAGCTCTGTCTCTGTACTGAAAGATTGCAGCCAGGTGCTGGAATGTCTCTGAGCTATCATGATTGATGATAATCTGTTCAACAACTGGAAGAACAGGAAAGAGAAGAGAAGGGACCTGGATGAAGCCTCAGACTACTAAAGAGATGATCTGAGGTGGTTGTAATAAAGCAATGAAGAAAACAGAGCTTTATTTTGTAGGCTCAAAGTTGGCAGAAGAAAGAGGCTGACATTTTTAATAAATTTATAGGCTTGGGATGATCAGGAGAGTGGCATTTCTGATCTATCACAAATGTTCATTTCATCCAGTAAGCCAAGCCAAAATCTCACCATCTCAAGACTCTGGCTCAGATACTTCAGGTTCAATGTTATCCCAGTGCATTCTCTGCAATTTCTCCACACAGCAAGCACATTAGTCAAAACCACTCCAGTCAGCATGGGCTGTGGGTGGCCACACAAGTATATAACTGAGAGAAATGTAGTTCAGGCATGAGTGCAAGCATATTGAAGGTGACAACAGCAGCAGCAAGCAGTCACATCAGCAAGCACATCAATATTGTTTCAGAATATCTTCTTGACCTGCAATTCCCAAAGTGGAGCTGGTCTTTTCCAGTCTGTTGAGAATTTGCCCTATATGTTTGTGGACCTACAGGAAGCTCTTGATGTAATGTCTGTTGAGTGTAGAAGCTCTGAGCCACCAAACATGATTGAAGAAGGATTGCTTGAGTCTGAGTCTGATAAAATAGAGCACAAGAGTCCTCCATCACCAGCAGAATCCAGCAGCAGTGAGAATGATTAGTTGTCTGTAATAAAATAAGATGATCAAGCATTTTAAATCTCTAACTACATTCTAGATTCAGTGCCACTACTAATGCCTTCAGGCCTGTCCAGCCCCAGTACATCAGAGCCAAGATTGGACCATGGATCCTTCCTGCCCACAAATACAGTGGAATCAACAGAAGAAGACAACATACTTGTACAGAAGCTGGTGACACAGCTGCAGATCTATCATAAGTGCTCTACTGAGGCTCATGCTGCATTGGAGCTGCTCTTCATACTGACAGTGTCTCTCTTACAGATGGCAAGCTGGAAATGTCCAGATATCTTAGAGCACACCAGCATGTCTTCCTATCCCATACAGTGGGACACCATCCTGCCAGTTCATCAGTACTAAAGGCTATACAGTGGGATGTGCACATTAGTGAAGTCTTTAGCCCATGAGAAAGTACCTCCACACCCTGCAATCATTGATCTGGAAGGTGATATCATTCTGATGCCAGCATTCCTGCATGCCATGATTGACATTGATAGTGCTGGTGATCTGGCCTCAAGTCTTGCAGTGGCCTGTGAGGAGTTTCAATAAAAAGCTAACCAGTTCCTGACAAGCAATCTGAAGAGTTCTCTTCATCTGGATCTCATTTCAGTTCAGTGAAGAGATGAGCAGACTGAAAGAGTCTGCCAGTTCCAGAGACCAGTCTACTGAATCCCTTACCTTCCATTTAGATGACTGGTTAGATTTTCTGAGATTGAGATCTACATTCTCTTCCCCTGGCTTTTCAGCTCCCAGCACCAGCATCACATCATTACAGAGCAGGAGTATGCTCTCTGGACAGACAAGATCTTCCTCCTGGCTCTCCATCATGTTTACTCTGCATCTACACTTCTTCACCTGCCATCCAGTACCACACATGTCCAGCTCAGTTTCACTGCAGCTCAGGCAGAAGGCTGCAATCAGACTTTTCATAAGTAGTCATGGGTGCAGGAGTTCCACTTTTCACTACAGCCAGCAAGACTTCACCATCTCTGAAAGTGTGTGCAGACAACCATTCAAGATTCAGAGCTTCAGCACTTTCAGGAACTCATGCTTCTTCTGACTGCTAAGAATCTGAAGCTCTCAATCCAGCATGCCATCTGGTCTGGCATGCATGATGCCTTCTTTTGCATGTGGAATCAGGCTGTGGACAGGTGCTATCTGACCACCAGCTTCTATAATATTGGCAAGGAGGTGGTCTTGCTCTGGAGCTTTCTGTTGCACCAGAAGCCAATGCATGCATCCTGCATGTTCATCTGGTAATGTTGCTGCCTGAATTGTTTCTGTGAATGACTGAGAGATTTGCCAGCTGCACAAAGAATCTCTTCTCTTACTTTATCTGAGCCTGATAGCTCACCAGATAATTCAATAGAGATGCAGATCAACAATGATCATTCAGTAGCAGCTGTCCAGCTCTGACAGTCCTGCTAACTTTGTAGCCATGTCCAGCAAAGAATGATGTCTGAGGCCTCAGACTCCAGCTATATCCAACACCAGTCAGTAGAGCCAGCATGCAGGAGTGAGGATGAAGATACATATCAGCCAGAGCTTAATAAGAGCAGTGAAGATGAAGATGAAGAGAGTACCAGCAACCTGAATGAACATTCAGCAGATAATGTACTGGTTGCTGATGTCCAGGCTCCTGATTCAGAACATGAATGTCCACAGGAAGGGTTCTGGTGCAAGCAGTTCTATCTGCTGTCATTTCTGTATGATCTGGAGTCCATGATGCTAGAGCTGCACTGGTGCTCTCCACTTTGCTACTGGGGTCTGCTCTACTGCCAGTTCTACAACACCATCAAGAAGATCTTTGTGGCTGGCCAGCATTTTCCATTTGCAAATAAGAATCTGGACATGTTGACTCTGGATTCTGGACTGGTATAAATCTGGCAGCATATTGGAAAGATCATCAGCCATTTTCCTCTGGCCTTGCTGCACGCATACATCTACATCAAGTGATGGTGCCATGTTGCTATTTCTGACTGCTGCCAGTGGTCCTATAAAACTTGAGAGAAGTACTGGATCACTGCTGCTGTCTTGCAGGCCATGGACTGAATCCTCCAGAAAAGTGATCTAGCCAATCATTCTACAGTTGTGCCCTAATATCCAGTGCTCTTCCTCAACTATTGCACTGATCAGCTTCTGGAGTGGCTGTGGTGGAATATTAACAAGCTGTACACTGGATTTGAGATGATCTACAGCCTGCAGCTGTGCACTGTAGTGCACTGGAAACATACTTGAGTAATAATGATGTTTCTTTAATATCTTCTGTGTGTGTATGGAGATCAGGACAACCATCTCAGCTGCAGCAATGATCTGTGACTCAATCACCAGGTGCAACTGCCTCTAGAGGGTTCTGACACAGAGCAGATTCAGAAGAGTCTTGAGATGGCATCCATACTGGAGCTATATGACTATGCCTGGTTTCTTGACAAGCTTGACTGAATGATCATGATATTCAAGCCATTACATTAGGTGCATATAGTCTTCAACACCTCAATCCTACAGATGATCTACCACCAGCAGTACCAGTAACTGATTAAGTTCAAGTCTGACTTTGTGCTCTTTCATGATGTATTTAGCTGCATGTTGGATGTTCATCTAGATCCTGCCCACTCTGCACTGCTGCTGCAGCTGCTGGTGACTTTCTGTCTGAGAGCCTTCTGGAAGAATGTCTTCAGAAGTCTGGCTGACTGTGTCACCCAACAGCCACTCCATCTCACTAGACTTGAGGATGTGTGCAATGGTGAAATTCCACTCACCTGTGCTGGTATCTCACAAATCTTTTAACATTCCCACTTTTGGAAAGACATCCAGTTCATCACAGGCTCCAGAATGAAAGTCAGGAATATTAAGATGCTCTTTACATGGCTCTGGAGCTGGAATGGTGATGGGAATGGCAACTGGCCACATAAATACTGGAAGTCAAAGCAGTACCAGGTCCTCTTTCACCAGTCTTTTAATGTTATTGTCAGTGTGTATGGAACTCAGCAGGCCTGTGAGTGGTGGACAATTGTGAAGCAGATCTTCATCTGCAGCCACTGGATCTTGCCTTATTCAAGTACAGCAGTCTTCTGGACACATAGAAAGGAAGAGAAACTGTGAAGCTGGGCTAGCACCCATTCAGGACTGGTCAACTACCTTCAGCAGTACCAGCCAGAACTCACCATTATTGAGCTGGACATGATTAATGAGCTGCCCCTGGCAGATTGGAAGGCTGGTGGTTAATCTTTGTCTCTGGATGTGGCTCTTCTCTCAGTCCCCAGTAATCTTGATGCCTGGCTTGCCATTGAACAGGGTCAATATCCTGTTCCTGCAGCAATGTCTCCCAATCCAGAAGTCTTTTTGCTGGCTGCTGGTGTGTGTTCCAGTGAGCTGAGCTGCCATCTTCAGAATACTGTGGCTGAACATCATGTTCTATGCTCATTCATACAGAAAGAGAGTGAATCTGCAAGCCAGCTGCATACCAACTGCAAGTGGCTTACATTCCAGCTTGTGTTGCACATCCAGGCTCTTGTTGAGGCAGAGAGGCAGCAGGTCCAGAGCATGAATCTTTCAAGAGTAACTCAATCTTGACAGTCTTGCCCTCAGCCCCAGCCCAACAGCAATCTGACACTGCTTGGGCCCAGAGTGACCAGAATGGATCTTGAAGAGGATTCTGACCCAGAAAGTCTGATGAGAAAGCAGGAAAAACATGCACAGTATCAGAGATGTATGCAGCAGCAGTTGAAAGTTGCACAGATAGAGGCCTTCTATTATAATCAGTGCAGAACTGCCATGAAGGCATATCAGTGCAAAGCTGCAGGGAGAGACCAAACAGTGTGAGTGCTCAATCAGTCTGAGTTTGAGAAAGCATGGATATGAAGTTAAAAGGCCATTGAGTGTTTAGCTCAAGTGTCTCAGCAGGTCACTTATCATGGAAAAGGAAAAGTATAGTTGTGACAGCACTGGCTTCTTAAGTCAGTTTTGACTATCAATTTTAGTGACAATTTTCTCTGTCAATTTTCATCATTAATTTTAGTTGTTAATTTTTGACTGTCAAATTTTACTGTTATCAATTTTGACTGTCAATTTTTACCATTGTCAATTTTTACTGTTAATTTTAGCTGTTGTCAATTTTTACTGTCAATTTTCACTGTCAATTTTTGCCATCAATTTTGACTGTTGTCAATTTTTACCATCAATTTTGGCCATCATCAATTTTGACTGACAAATTTAGCATCATCAATTTTGGTGTCATCAATGTTTACCATCAATTTTGACCATTGTCAATTTTGGTCCTCAATTTTGGTGTTGTCAATTTTGACCATCAATTTTTACTGTCAATTTTGGCTGTCAATTTTGGTGGTGTCAATTTTTACTGTCAATTTTGACTGTCAATTTTTACTGTCAATTTTGGTGTCATTAATTTTGACTGTCAATTTTTACTGTCAATTTTGACTGTCAATTTTTACTGTCAATTTTTACTGTCAATTTTGGTGTCATTAATTTTGACTGTCAATTTTGACTGTCAATTTTAGTGTTGTCAATTTTGACTGTCAATTTTTACTGTCAATTTTGGTGTCATTAATTTTGACTGTCAATTTTGGCTGTCAATTTTAGTGTTGTCAATTTTGACTGTCAATTTTGGTGTCATCAATTTTGACTGTCAATTTTGGCTGTCAATTTTGGCATTGTCAACTTTGACCATTGTCAATTTTTACTGTCAATTTTGGTGTCATCAATTTTGACTGTCATCAATTTTGGTGTCATCAATTTTGACTGTCAATTTTGGCTGTCAATTTTTACTGTCAATTTTGACCATCAATTTTTGTCAATTTTTACTGTCAATTTTGACCATTAATTTTTGTCATCAATTTTCACCATTAATTTTTGTTATCAATTTTGGTCATCAATTTTAATCATCAATTTTTGTCAATTTTTGCCATTAATTTTCACCATTAATTTTTGCTGTTAATTTTGATCATTAATTTTGATTATTAATTTTGATTGTTACTTTTCACTGTAAATTTTGGTCATCAAGTTTCTCTGTAAATCTTTATTATTAATTTTCACTTGTGAAAAATATTACTGTAAACTGTTTCAAGTTATATTCTAAAATAAGTCAAAATTGATAAAAAATATTAATTAAAGTTGAAATAACCAAACTAATTAATTAATAAAAAAATATCTTACATCATTTCACAAATACTACAAGCTCAGATGTAAGTAAATGAAAAGAATTTTATTATAATAATAAAAGCTGTTGAATTTTATTAATTTATCAAAAAGAAAAATATTTAAATATTTCTTATTTTTCTGTATTAGATTAACTAAATGATTAATGAAAAGATTCAGATATCTAAGAAAAAGAATAACTATCTACTTGAATAATAATTTTCTAAAAAATTTAAAGACTTTAAGCAGATATTTTTTTAATTACAAATTAAATAAGATATTATTATATTAATAATTTAGATATAGTCAGATAACTCAAGAAAACTATATGTCAGTTAATAGTAATAGCATATAATTAACAATTGTTATTAGTATTTAAACTATAGTTATCTGTAAACTTAATTAAGTTCATCTGCTTATTTTATAATTTAATTGATTTTTATTCAAATTGAATAAAATAACACTTATTTGAAAGCTATCATTTTATTAAAGAGACTTTTGAATTTTTAAGTAATTTGCTTTACTAGTTATTAAGATATAAATAGAAACAAATAATACTAGCTTTACATCTGTCAGAAACACTTTTTATACTATTACTTAGTAATTACAAGATTTTTATTTTGAGAGATAAACTTAATAATACTTTTTAAATAAATTTTCTAATTTTCTTTATTATATTTCTTTCAGTTATTATATTATTATATTATTTTTATCTGAAAATTCTTTTATCAAACATTTTCTTATTTTAAGTTTTCTTGCTAAGATTCTTGCTTACATATATTTTATTAAGATATGTTAAGTAAGCTAGAGCTTTTATCTTATCTTATTTATTCTTATCTTATCTCTCTATCTCTTCCTATCTGATTTTTGCTTCTTAAACTTTGTGCTAATACTAAATCAGCTTTATTAACTTAATACTATTAGTATAGCTGAGCTAAATTAATGTTTGCAAATTCTGACTAAGCTTTAGTAAGTAGTATATTTAATACTATTTGATAGCTGAAAAATCAGAATGAATTAGTGAAACAAAAGTTTTAAATACTTATAGTAACTATTTTGAATTAGAAACAAGCTATATTAACTATATTATAAATTAAAGTAATTTTTATTATCTTTTCTATATTTAAGAAAAAAGTCAAGCTAGATTTATAGTGTCTTGACAGATTTGCTATCATTTCTATCTGATAAAAGATATACTAGCTTTCTGGTGCTGCACTGCTACTATATCTAAAAAAATCAGTTGTGTTTCTTACTTTTCTGCTCAAAATATATATTATTTTTATAATATTAACTTTAGCATCTTGAATATGAGTCTTTACTACTAAATTTAAGGATATTCTCAGCTGGTTTTTGAAAGATTTTCTGCAAAAGCTCTCTAATTTGATAGTTTTGTTTGAAAAGTATACTTGCTAGTATTAATTTAACTAGTTCTTGAGATATAATTGCTTACATCTGTTAGGTTTACTAGCTTAGTCTTCTGATTTGTAACTCTTTAATAATTGTTATATAGTTTTTATTCTAGAAGCTATTTTCACAGTTACAGTGTTCAAAAAAATCATATAGTTTGCTAGTTCTCTTAAAAAACTAGAGCAGAATTTTATAAATGTAGTTCTGGTCAAAGAAAAATTTACTATATAAATATTTTTAGCTCTCAGCAAAACAACTAAACTAGTTTAAATAAACTAACAAGTAAGATAGAAAATATTGTTGGAAGATATTTTTAAGATAAGTAATTTTAATTTTCAAAAGTCTATCTTCTGTTTTTTATTCAAGAATATTATTTCTTAAAATATAATGAAAATGACTTTTAATTTTGATTCTTCTTTTAAATTTAAACAGCAAGATCTAATATCAATTTTCAAGACTTTTACTAAAGAATATCAGAAAAAAAAATGATATTCTTATGCAAAGAAAACTATATACTTGTATATTGAGTATTTAAAAATAATTTATTTTCAAGAAAAACAAGATAGTACTATTTTTAAGAAATCAGAATTACTTTATGTTGAGAAAAGAGTTATACAAGTTGAAAATTAAGAAATATTATACACTAAAAAAATAGTAGTAATGATCTATAGATTTAATATCAAGAAAAAGTATCAAAAAATAAGTTTAATAATATTTTTAAATAATATGTTTCTGCTTTAAAAGCTGATTTATATAGTGAATATTCAGTTAAAGTTTGGATATGTTTTTATCTTAAATTAAATAGTAAAAAGAATAAAGAAGAATGTTTTGAGCAAAAGCTTTTTAGAGATAAGAAAGTAGTTCTCAAAATAAATAATTAAGTACTTGAAAAAATTAGTAATCAAGATTTTGTTCTCAGAAATAAAATAAATAACAGATGTACTGAAGTAAATATTACAAAAAAATTGGATATTTCTTTAATTTCTAAGTTATTTAAAGATCAATATGTAATATTAATAATAATACAAGAGTTTAGATGTAATTTTCTTCAAAAACACAAGCAAGTTTAGATATGTATATTCTTATAGTTGATAAATATTAAGATAGAAAGTGTAAAAAGTTATAAAGATAAGTACTGAAGAGTGTTTGTTGTTTATAGTATGTCTACAAAAATAATTTATTATGTTTTCAAAGTTAAAAAAATTAATAAAATTATATTAAGAATATTAGCAAATTTTCTTATGTTTTAACAATAAAAATAAAAGTAGAATTTCAGATTTTATGTTATAGTTTATCAGATTTGTTTTATTGTATTACATTAGATGTTGAGCTAATTCTACTAGTTAGATTTTAATTCTAATATTAGTTTTATTTTAATTGTAGATTTCACAGAAAGATTTTAATATACTGTTAAATAATATAGTTTTATTCTGGTGAGAATAAATTCATTGTAATTCTATTCTCAGAATAGAAATTAGAATAGAAATATAAAAGTAAAACAGAAAATTTCAAGACAAAGTATGTCTATAAACAGAGTTAGAGAGCTACTAAATATAATAACAAAGATTTAAGTGCACTAGAGTTTTATTAAATACTAAAATAAATATTCAAGCAGGTTAGAGTTCAAGTAAGTACAGTAATAAAATCAAATTCAGATGTAGATACAGATACAGATACAGATAAGAGTGCAGATGTGGTTAAACTTAAAGTTAGATTTCAGTATGTACTGAAATAAATTTTTAAGCAGGTTTAAGCACTATAATAAAATCAGAGATAGAGATATATATAGTAAATAGTGAGTAAGAAAAAAGATTTAAAAGTTGATATATTATAACAAAAATAGAAAGATTGTAAGCAAGTTAAAGAGATAATTCAAAGAGTGATAGTGTTATATTTGTATGATTTATAGTTGATAAGTTATATATAAATATAAGTATAGAGCAAATAGTAAGTAAGTTACAAGAGGTAAAAGTTAATATATAGTAATAAAAACAAAGTTATTGTAAGCAGGATAGAGAGATAATTCAAACAGTGATAGTTTTATATTTGTATAATAAATAATTAGCAAGTTATTAAATACATAAATATAAAAGAAATTTAAATTAAATTAATATTATTTTTTAAATTGTATTTATATTTATATTTGTATTTATATTAAGAGATCAGAATTAGAGTAAGAGTTAGATTTCAGTAAGCAGTAAAATCAATTTTTAAGCAGATTAAGATAGTTAAGTACTGTAATGAGTTCAGAGACCAGAGGT